TCCACGTAGCTACAAATGCATACTATTATATGCTGAAACCTACTATCATATGCTCAAACCTTTCATAGTATCTCAGTAATTTTGGTAAAAGAAATAAATGCTTGAAAAATTTGATATATAACTGTTCAGTACATCTAAGTAATTCATTTGTCATCAGCTGTTTTGATTTCTTTATCAAACACAAAATATTTCTGGCTATTTGGTGGGGTAACAGATGAGACTTCGAAAATACTTTTGACACCGTCAAGCTTTATAGCATCACATTTCCTCAAGAACAGCATACAACTATTTTTTTCAAAGACGTATAATCCGACAAATCGCCCCCCCCTTCAAGAAATCAAGTGAAGATAATATTTAAATATTAATTTTTCACCAAATTAACATCTTTTGCACCATTTTTTATGATATTTTACAGAATTACCTAATGAAACGGAACCTAGTGCAATTTTGAATAAGGCAAATTTGTAAAGAACGCGGAAAATGTGTTGTAAATGAAAGCGTATTAATATTCCACATCGGATGCAACTCGAGTCATGCGCAGCACTTTAAAAAGTGCGCAAATAATACATTATTATATAAGAGGCCTTCATATTTCACGCGTTTAATAAATCTGACGGCATTTTTCTAGCTCTTATTCTCTCCTCCGTAACTCGAGCACTGAAAGAATCATTCACTGTACAAATTTATAGTTTAAACTAGAGATACGGAACTAAATTTTTCTTCATGATGAATTGCTTATGAGTTTTCCCCTTGAGGGAGCTGTATCTCGAGGCTATAGGTTGCCAAAGCTTGATAGTTACAACAAGAAAAAGAGGATCAATATACAGTCAACAACAAGGAAAAAGAGCAGCATGGTAGGTCTCACTCCCTTTTTCCTCAGCCCCCGGGCGAAATGATTGAGGGGCGCAGGGCGCAGTACGCACCGTCGCCCTCGGAAAAAGAGTTGATCACATTCTGTCTCCAGGTGTTTATTGGACGGGGCCACGCCTCGTTGGGTTCCTTAGCCCCCTTTCCCAGACGTTGCCTTTAATCACCGCAGGCATGCTTGCCTCGGCAGGAAAAAAATGGCAACTGAGTTATGGAGGATAAAACAAAATGAAAAGGTAGGGAAATGTGGTTATGGATTGGATGAGTGTGTCGCCAGTTTCTGCACAAGTTTGGGATGATTACCTTTAACTTTCTGTAACTGCCAGCAGTTTTTGCTTGGCAGAAATGTTTGAATATTCAGTCTAGAAGGCAGAGATAAAAAAAAGGGATTTTGTAGAATATTTTTCCGTATTTATTGCATAGCAAGTAAAAAGACATCTGTTGTTGTTTTTCTTTTTTCAACTTGATTTTCCTTTTAAAAATGTGGAATTTAAACTAAGTTATTAATAATATTATTTATAAACTCCATTACGTAATATTTTAATGTTAAATGTTATTCGACATAATAAAAGTATTTTAAATAAAACTAAAAAATGGAAACAAGATTTATTAGTACATCTAAACATCGTATTATGAACACCTTACTTCACGAACAAATTACATTAATATGAAATGCCTTGTATGATGGATGGCATCTCGAATTATGAAGAATCAAGTCAGCAACATATGACTTTCAAAGGTGTTTTGAAGTAATTTGTGCCACACTATTAACACCCGGGAAATACTCGAAACATTATTTTAATATTTTCCATTCCAAAGGCTGGCAGCAAGCGATTACCAGAACCATGAATTCTATCTGGAACAAAATACTGCCTGAATGGCCAAAGATTTTGAGCACTTTGACAGTTAGGGTGGCTTTGTTATCTATCATACTGTGTATCTAGGCCAAAAAACCTTGGTCTAGGAAATTAACTATGACGAGGTGGAAAAGTTACTAGAGAATGATAAAAATGAACTTAATATAAAAGAATTACAACTTCAAAAAGTGTAACAAAAGACCAATTTTGGGAAAAATGTTTTCGAAAGAAGAGGAAGAAAGAAAAATTACCCTATTCCCAAATTCGGGAAATGGATAAAACGCAAAATTGCCATGTAAAGATATCACCCTGACAAAGATATCACCCTGACAAAGATATCACCCTGACAAAGCAGTAGCATACGCATTTCCAAAGCCAATGCCATGTTTCACTTTAGAATCGTTTTAAAGCACAGGCAACAACAAATCCCATTGCACAAATTTTCAATGAAACAGAGGCCCGATGAATTTCAAGCAGAATAAAGTGGAGCTTAGAAACAAAGAAAAGATTAAAAGGAAGATGCCTTTAAGGCACTTTAAAAAGAAGATACTCTTAAAGACAGTTATTGATATTTTTATACACAAAAACCTTTCAATCAAACTATTTTCGTAAATTAAGGTAACTTTACCAAAACTTACTAAACGCTTTATAAAAAAATATCCAAAAATAATTTTTCGACATATTAAATACATCGGTAAACAGTGTAGCATGGCACAGAAATCTTTAAAGCAGCGTTTGCTGTCAGTTCAAACAAATGTTACCAATCTCCTCAAAAGCTATTCCAGACTTCACTGAATTTTCGAGTTCTCAATCACAATCAGAAACTGACAGTCGCAAAATCTCGGTATTATGAGTAGGCTGATTCGCCACAGAAAATCTTTGCAAATCTTTTATTCTTTTCGATTTAACGCGCATGTCTGCACCATTTTTCATTCCTTCACGGCATCTTTTCTTTCTCTATGGGGAATTCCTCTGCTGATGGTACAAATCCTCAGTTGATGATTGACTTGGAGAATTTTTCCAGCCTTTCCCAAACATTAATTGCTTTTTTCCTACCACTTCTTCCTCCCATTTCAGCTCGTGATCTCTGCTCTTTTTTCACGCCACTCCGACGATTGAAAAGTTTAGAGCTAGACTGAGGCCGCGTTACTCTTAGGCATATATATTCCAGAACGGAGACATTTAAATTGATTGCTTCTTTGGCTTTCATTCAGAATGTGTTTTTTAATCAATACATAAGACTATCATATATAATACATGGCCCTTTCTATAAGAAACAAAAATAGCAGTTTCTTCTTTAAAACTCAGAGAAAATACAAAAAGTCTTTATAAATCTAATAAAGAAAATTACGAACATAAACAAAAGAATACGAATCACAGATTATGCATGATTATTAACAACTATTCATAATATTTATTGCGCTAAAATTTCCATATTCACATCAGCGTATTTCGCAATAACGTTATACAAGTTTTCTACAAACTTGAAGTCGCATAAAGATTTCTGTTTGGAATCAAAAATATTTTACAGCATAATATGACCAACCTGGCATCATAGGAAGTTCAAGTGTGGAAAAACAGTAAGCAAATGGATATATATATTCACTAATCTACATATTTAGTTAGATAGCTAGATAGATATATATTACTGTAAATCATGTATATAATAGTTATCGTGAGACAGTCTTCTTACTGCAAGTGGAAGCTTTTACATATCTAATAACATCCTAACACAATCCCCGTACTATAAGCGGAAGCTTTTATATTTCAGAAGTCTTGACGCTTTGTGTATTACCTTTATTTAGTAAATAGCATGTTCTTCGCACTTAAACCATAGAATTAAATTCAACAGCAATATCAAAAATTATTTAAAAGAGCATATCTTTAGAATTTCCGATACACAGTCTCGCGCACTGGAGATAAAAATGTTTATTTTCCGTACAGTATTGCCATTGCTCTCTTTGAAATCGTTGAGTTTCTTAATTAAAAACCCATAAATACTTCAGCAAATATGAAATAGATAATAAAACAAATTCCAAATTTGCCCTTCCAGATGCCCATATTCGGAGGGAAGACGTACGTTATTCGAAACCTGATGGCTCTAGGTACCGTTGTTTTATCATAATGCGATAAACATACATACATACATTTATGCAGATTCTTCATTATTTAATTTCTTTAAATACAATGGGCTTTAATATTTGGTGGCAAAAATTTAGAAAGTGATTCGCCGCTTATAGCGAATCAACACAAAATGCCAAAACGAAATTAACAGTCCGTCTGGGCAAATTGCCTCTTTGGGCTAATAAAAATTTAAAAAAAAGAAATATTTTTGCAGCCAATCTCACTGAACAATTTTCGATAGAATGATGGTATACAATAGCCACTTTTGATTTGAGCGACAACCACTACTCGCTCTCTAAGAAAATCAGATTAAATTTCTTTAATGAAAAGTTATTAGGTTTTCTGTATTCTTTTCCCACCAAACAGCAAATCAATATGTTCAAGATTTCTTACTCTCAAACAAAAGTACACACTACACCAAATATAATACTAAAACAAGATTTTCAATACAACAATCATTTTTCCCCCAGTGTGCACTATTTCACGAATGATCAATTTAACCACTTTTTAAGTTGATCTTAAACAGCAGCGTTACTTCTTTAACTTCTGTACTTTTATTGTTTTACTTCTTTAACTTCTGTATTTGAAGTATATAGATATATTTGAACACTGCATATGTTCAATAGATTATAATTTTCAGTCCTTACTTTAAGCTTGTCAGGAGTCTCACTTGAAAACTGATTTTAAATTTTTGTACACATTAATTATTAATCTAGAAATAAATTGACATAAAAAAAGAAATGCAGTAAAATAACATGCATGATTTATTAAGCTAAAATTACATTATTAAGCTTTACAGCAGAAATAGTATAAATAATTTGTGTGCGTTAGTAAACGCTAGTACAATAATAAACATAATAACTTAAGGCTAAGCGCTAAGTTCCAGATATAGGACAATGTTTAATAGTTGAATGGTGTTATAAAATTAAAGAATGAAATGAAACCTGATTGTTGACCTGCAAAAGCTCTTAGAAATAATGAAGCACGTCTTCATATACAATTTTCATATTGCTGTTCTAATAACTGTGAGCTAGAAGACTTAGTTTTTCTCGTATGAAATTCGATAAATTTTGTACCGTCTTATACATATAAAAACAATCAAAATCCTCGCAAATTTGAAGAATCTCTTAAAGGACAATAAATGGTTCCTACCTTATGAACTGAAGAACTAGCAACGTGATAAGGAGGAAAACCATCGCTACTGCGCATCCGATGTAAACTATCATTCGTAATGTCTCATGATCGGTTGATAGAGGTTGCTCCTGTAAAATGAAAATTAATAACACTCATCATAAAAAATAATACATAAAAGAAGACAAGAATTACAATACATATTATATCAAAACTTTGAAACAATGTAAAATAAATTTTAAAAGCATCAATTTATTATTAAAAAATCCAACTGGTAAAACCTTATTTACCTACAAAAAATGGATTACGTACTTTTCTGCTCAAAATATTGGAAGAAATGATTCCGTCTCGTGCATGAAACTCAAACTATGTATGCTGGAAGTGACACCTGGAACAGTGCTTTCGTGTTTTAATTCAAGCGCAGTGAAAGTATCTTTCGGACATTCGTCGCAATGTGGTATCTTGAGTAAAATGTGTTTGTGATTGGTCTTTTTCGATTAGAAATTGATGTCTATAATGCCACAACCTTCTTACTAATTTCAGTTCTCGTTTTCTAAACCTGTTATTTTAATCGGAATAGTTCTAGAGTCAATTCAGACAATCTAGAGACAATTAAATCTATCAAAAACGATGCGATGGCCAGTTTGTGATGGATTAAAAAAAGAGGCACTCTTCCAGTGCTTCAAGAAATGTCAAGAGTGTTGATAAATGTTATCACGAAGGTGACTGGGTAATAGATTTTACATTTTGAATAGAATTAACTAATTTACAAGCATTTTATGCAATCCTTTTGAACACAGGAGTGTTTTCTTCGCATAAACCCCAAAATTACTTCTAATAATGTATTAAATATATGGCACAGTTTCTATAAGCCCAGAAGTAAAGAAGTAAGATATTTGTTCCCTCCTTACCCCATGCACTTGCAATATAATTGGAATTGCCTCCGCCTAGTTGTAGGGAGGTTCAGAGTTCGAATCCCTAACGAGGGCTTGAAAGTTTTTCATGTTTCTTACAAAGGTAACATAAAAAATTACGAGAAACAGTTAAGAGAGTTATTTAATTTATTAACAGTTAAGAGAGTTTATTTAAGAGAAATTTTTGGTACAACTGTCATCTGTGACGGCGTCATCTGCCCTTGAAACATAGGATTGATGTATGTAGAGACATTAGGATATTTTGGAAGCAGGAGTCATGAAAAATGAACAACGCCTTCGCCGGGAATCGAACCACGGACCTCTGGAATACGTGCCTAGCGTGCAGACCACCACACCACGAAGGCATGCTAGAAAGGCGGGATAAACACCTTATACGTATACTTATCAACATTTACATATTTAATAGAGCAAGATGCAAATTATTACGTTCAAATTTCAGCAATTATTTTGATACAAAACTGTGTAACCCTAATAAAATATAGAAATCCGAATTCCTAACTTCCAAGTTATACCTTTGCATTCTGAATTTCATATTAGTCAGACATTTTCTTAACAGAGGCATTAAATTAATATGCAATCAAGATAATTAAAAACCAACGTAATCAAAATAAATCACCAATGTATCAGGAGAAAAAAGAAAGACGGTTCTAGAAAGAATGTTCAGAAGAATAAAGAAAACGATTGCTTCCATCATCGCAATGTTTTAAGTAATGAGTATAATATGGCAAAAAGATATATATAAGTAGACAGGCAAATAAGTAAACAGATATAGATAAATACGTTTTTGAAGTAAAATTAAATGTATTCGTACGTTATTTGTGACTGTGAAACTAATTTATTACATACTTTAATATTTAAATGCTTTTTTTTACCATAATGCTTAAAAGTGAGCTCCGGAAGGAGAAAAATGTATCAAAATCAGAACACTTAAGGAAAAGAGAGTTACGTGTATAAAGAAACATAAAATGAACTCAACATCATCATAAGTGTCCAAAGTACCTCCTTTATTTCTAGATGGAATAGCCAAATAGCAATAGAAAATAAAAATGCACATATAATAACAAAGTTAGAACAGGCACTGCCATCTTGCCTCCTAAGGTGCACTTTAGGGAGGCCAAAAATCAAACAAAGATATTCGGCATCAAAATATATACCATAAGTGCTGCAGTTTTTACTTTCTTGACTCCATTTATTTATAAACATTATCCCTCTTTCAATTTTCGCCAGAAGCCAATGCAAATAAACAAATACCATGGAAAAAATTCCACTTCACGCCTAAAAGTGAAGTTGCCATTGGCTTCAGGAGAAGAGACGAGCCATTTTCTTTAGAATTCGAAATCAACTAGCTTCTCATATTTCTGGAGATCGGGTTCTTTTGGAGACGATTGACGTCATCTGTGGCGGCTCGGTTCCAAAAGGATGCTATCAGTTTACGAAAGGTGCTATTCTAGTAGGGAGTTTAGAAGGATAAAGGGGTTAAAACTGCGGAATAGCCGCCTTTCCCTGTCTTCCTATTACAGCGGAGGTGCCCGTTAAGTTTAGACTTCAAGTTCCGGTGACAGAAATAAGATTCTTGAAGAGGAGAATGGTTCTTACCTTGAACTAGATACGTTTTCATTGAGCAGCTACAAAAATGTGAAGCTTAATTGTAAAAGAAAAAAAAAAGTTACAAAAATATTTCTATCATGTTTATTTTTAGTAATAAACTTAATTTTCTTGAATCTCTCTACTCACAACCGATTTTAATAAACTACTGTTTTCTGAATAAGTGAAAATTTTACTTTGTTCTAAAGTAACGCTCAAAATGGAACCTGGTTTTTTTTTTTATTTTTTATTATGGAGTTTTTTTAAATGGGGGTAGGGAAGAAATGTTTGCTGAAATATAATTTTCTTCTAAGAAACGAGTGCTGCAAAATATATGGTAATAAGCAAATGACCTGGATAGACAATAAATGTTATCTGTTATACAATTCTGTTAAATAAATATATCATACAAAAATGTTACATTAAACACAAATGTGTCACAAAATGTTACATAAAACACAAATGTGTCACATAGATAGCAATGTGCCCACTGCTTTTCAAAATAAATGGCAAAGCAAAGAGATGAAGAAGAATGTCCTGGAAAAACGATATAAATTATGTGGGATATTATATTTTTCGCTCGTGGAAGCCCGAACTGCCTACAAGCATCAATTTTTAAAGTATTAGCTTAAATATAAACTAAATAACTATATAGCGTACTTTATTTAAAAAAACATAGAAAATTGAATATATTTATGCGATAAGACGTTTAAATCCAAACATTTCTCAAAAGAGCATATTATCTTTAACTAAAACTTAAATTAATCATTAACTTAAGTTGCCATAGTTTGATGAATGAAAAAAACGTTTTCCGAATAATTCCATCACTTTGGTGAATGGAAAGTTGAGAGATCATCAATGATCAGCAATGTGCGATGTTTTTTTCTTTCACATTTTTTCCTTAGGATTGATGAATACATGTCAATCTGTTTTGTATTCCACCATCTTGAATCTGGCAGAACTACTGCGAAATATTATCAAATCAAAGACATTCATTTTGTGATTGAATTTTGTCTTGTTTCAAGTTGGCATAACTCTCGTATTTATGTTAAAGAACGGTCTTTTGTACTTTTTTATCAACATGAAGAACATTTTTTAGTGACTAAAACATATTTTTACTCTTAATGAAAAAATTTTTAAATTTAAGAATGCCTACTTAAATATCCATAAAATAAAAATGTGTCTGTTATAATTATTGAAAATTAAAAATATAATTATTTGAAGAAAATTTTTTGTTGTATCAGAATATTCATTTCTCTTGTAGAAGAATTAAACATAAACCTCTTCTTTAAAAAAACATTGTCCTCCTAACGTTTTCAGAAATATCACCATGTATAAAACAGAAACTCTTTTATATACCCAGAGCAACCTGGTTTGCAATTAATCATAGCCCTCATTCTCTTCTTTAAAAAAAAAATAAATAAAAACCTGTCCTTCTAAAGTCTGCAAAAATATCACCTTGTATAATACAGAAACTTTTTATATAAAGAGAGCAACCTAATTTGTAATAAACCATAGCAAGATGAAGCGAAAAAATTATTCCGCTAATTGCAGAAACAGCAACAGCTAGATGGGAAATTTTTAGAACTACCTGACAAGGAAAAAATTTTTTTCGCCCAAAATGTCCCGCAGAATCCCATAAATAACGAAGTCGCATTAAATACAATGTTTTTCAGCAAAGCTTTCAAAACCATAGATCAATAAAAAGCTTCGAAGACGAATGCTTTTTATGATTGATTTCTACCCTACACACACAAGAACTGAAATAGAGAAAGAAAGACCAAATCTCAATTTTTAATTATTAAAAAAAAAAAAAATCAATGCAGTATGTGTTCTTAGCACATGAAAAGTAAATTTATAAGAGGCATATCACGTGACAAAAAAGGCTAGAGGAGGAAGAAGGCAAGCATTTTGCATTCCCGTCACATGATGTGAGGAACTTCACGTGACCCGGTGTCAATTTGCAATCCCTAATGGTTGGTGCCATTAAATTGTCATTAACGTAAGAATAGTGGAAGATATGATGGTTTCTACCCTACAAAAACTCAAAAACTGCCGCGTCGGGAGGGTAGCATTTAGAAACGCTTGTAATTACATGCTTTCCTATAACATAATATGGCATTTTATTATTACATTTTCATAACTGCGGCCCCCCCTTTCGACCTCTTCTCTTGCACTTCGTTTAATAAAGCGTCGAAGGTTTCTTTTCTTCTCCTTTTAATTCTTTTTCATTTCTTTTTTTTTAATCCTTAGCTTCCGCTGCGCAGCGAAGGAAAAAAACTCAGCAGCTCTTAGTAACACCCAAAAAGAAAGAAAATTAACCGCCAGTGTTCCGAAATTGTATGATTGATTAAGAAAAACGTTTTAAAAAAAAAGGGTAACTTCAACAATAAACGATTTTCTTAAAGTTCACCCAATTTGCATAAATAAAAGAAATTTCGCAGACTTGGCAATGATTTCATTTCATTTCGATTGCACATCTCTATTTTTAACATAACGATGATTTTACAATAAAAAAAAATCAAAACACATTTATATAGTAACACTAACCATGCCCAGTTAACATGCAGAAATTATAGTAATAAAAGTAAATATCATGTAATTAAATAATT